TATATATATATATATATATATATATATATATATATATATATATATATATATATATATATATATATATATATATATATATATATATATATATACACACACACGTGTCTGTGTGATATATGTAAAATTTGGCCCGCGACAACGTTTGTTTTTTTGCATCTGGCCCTCGGCCCAAAAAGTTTGGACACCCCTGCTCTAAAGTGTTACCAAAAACTTATTTTCCGTGATCACCTGAACCCCTGTAGATGAAACAAACAATCTCTCCCTCAACTCACCCCACACCAACCCCTAAAATATAATCAATTCCGAGTCCGTTGAATGCCTCCTCAATTGTAAGTCGCTTCGGACAAAAGCGCCTGTAAATGACTGAAACGAAAATGTAATGTAAATGCTAAAGACTGACCTCTGTGAGTCTGGCTGTGAGATGGTGTTGACGATGGCCTCCACCGCCGTATCGAACAGCTCCGGATCCGCCAGCGCCGTAAAACTGGCCTCCACCAAGCCCTCGCTCTCGTTCAAAGGGACGTCCAACAGAACCCAACTGGACAGACACTTGAGCACACGGGCCTTCACCAGCGACGGAGAGTCCGGCTGCCGTAGTAACTGCTGCAGGAGCGGGTACACAGCCGTCCACTCGCTGCCCAGAGCGCCCCTCACCTGCCCCTTGCGGTACTGCGGCAGCCGGCTGGTCTGAAACTCCTCTGGAAGAACCGTCAGCAACTCTAGTAAAGCCAAACAGCGAGCGCGTCCATCAACGTCACCGCCGTCCTCCTGAAACATGCGCACCATTTCAGAAACAGCCCCCGGCCAGGCCTCAGGCATCATGTTGAGGGCGAGGGACGCCAGCGCCACGCACAACCGGGTCAAGACGATCTTGGAGCCGGATGCAAAACGGGCGATCTGAGAGAAGAGCTGGGATTTGAGGGAGTCGTACTGCTCGGCCGGGATGTCGCTCCAGTAGCGGGAGATCTTGGTGTGAAGGGCACTGGCGCCAAAGTACTGGATCTCTGGAACCTGCGGAGATTAAAGAGGACGTATTATTATTTAAAAATCGATTTCACAAGGAGATTAAACACAGTTCTGTAAATATAATCAGCTTTCAATGATAAAAATGCTTTAATTAATTGTTTTAAAATCCGACTTGATAAAAACTGTCTGCAAAAATACTTTGATTGACATTTTCCCTTTGTGTGTCATCACGCCACATTCACACGGGCGTCAGCGTCAACGCTTCCCATTCACTTTGAATGGGTGACGTCAGGCGTTGCCGAACTGCATTGTAGATCCATCGGCGCCGCTTCAGAGGCGTTGCTCGCTGCAGAAGTTGGGACAAGCTCAACTTTTCAAGCGCCGACGGAAGCGTCAGCCAATCATATCACTGTATGCAAATACACTAGCTAGACTTTGGCCTATTGCAGACTGAATTTCATTGGCTGACGCTTCTATGACGATCGCTTCAGCTTCAACTTCAGACACGCCTTGAGTCAAGCGTTGACACAGAATCCCCATAACTAGTTACATGTAACAGCGTTACGTAATTTAATTACAAAATAAAAGTACCAATAATTTGTTACAGTTACTGAGAAAAAAAGTGTAATTAAATTACATTTACATATGAAAATGTTAACGAAAACAAATGGGATTACATCAAAATAGGTTGAATAATATTAATCTGTGGCTTTACCTGTTTTTCCTAAGCACGATGCCTGCTGCACAGGCCATTTATTAAAGTGGTGCTATTCTAATGCTTTTGATTAGTTTTCCGGATTGATCACGGCGCACCAAGTTTACCAATTTATTGAATTATTATTAAATGATGTCTTGACATAAATGATGTGTTTGTATTTCTATGTAACATTATATTTTTACATAAGAAGTGGTAGAGGACAGTCGGAGGACTGCTTCAATCTTTCACTCACTTGTACTTAGTCATTTTAGCGAACACCTCAGATACTGTTAGCTGGTTCCAGTTGGTTGTGCTTCTTTTTTACCGACGCCATTATAACGATACAGATCACTGCCTATTCATAATCGGAGTCCCGCAGAAAAAGTGATTGACAGGTGGTAATTATGTGTGTATCTTGCCTTTATTCATTTACTGTATGATTTGTTTATGGGTAAAACAAAGACCATGCAGGTCAGGTAGTTTAAACGGTAGGCTACAAATAATTAATTGGTCATTAATGAATTAATTATTCATAATCGAAAATTGAATCGAATCGTGCCTTCAGAATCGAAAATGTAATCGAATCGAGGATTTAGAGGATCGTGACACCCTTAATATAAATCGGTTGATATTATTAACGCATTTATTGGGTAAAATTGCTACTTTTTACTGTCATTCAATGTGTTTTGGTCATTATCAATGCACGAAATAAACATTAAGAAATAGGACTTTTTATGACTCCAGAATAATTATCTTTTAGGAAACACTGTAAAAATTTTCAGAAACATTGTTTTAAATGAATGGGAGGGCAAAATAAATTGACTTCAACTGTAGGCCTGTTAAAGTTTACAGGTGCAGCAATGTGCCTTGATGTACTTGAATGTTAGAAATGTGTTCTCCTGCACCAGCACAACGTTACTTGTCAAATAAATAAACAAGGAAGATTATTTTGAGTTTAATTATCTTTTTTATGACTGCAGAGTGATGCATAAAAACAAATCACTTCCAATAATGTTAAGTATTTTGTGATATATATGTTAAAATGTGCTCCTAAAAGTACGTGGCCCTGCCCGCCCCCCACACAGGTTAATAGTAAGCTAATTTAATTTCATAATACAAATCTTAAATTCATGCTAACCAACAAATGATCAAAGGAAATGTATTAATGTAATACAATATGAATTAATGTTTACTTTAAACTGTAATTATATTGTTCTATTAAAAATGATTTTTTAAAATATTTTGTCAAATAAAATATTTTTGTAGAGGTATCCACCATTATTTTGTGGCTAAAAAGTATGGATTCAGGCACCGTTTTGGCACCGGTATCGTTTTAAAAGTATCGATTTAGCACCGGTATAGAAAAAACCAAACGGTACCCAACTAGCAGCTAGCTCTCTGCAACTCTCAGATGGTCGCCCACTGAAGCTAAGCAGGGCTGCGCCTGGTCAGTACCTGGATGGGAGACCACATGGGAAAGCTAGGTTGCTGCCGGAAGTGGTGTTAGTGAGGCCAGCAGGGGGCGCCCAACCTGCGGTCTGTGTGGGTCCTAATGCCCCAGTATAGTGACGGGGACGTTATACTGCTCAGTGAGCGCCGTCTTTCGAATGAGACGTTAAACCGAGGTCCCGACTCTCTGTAGTCGTTAAAAATCCCAGGATGTCCTTCGAAAAGAGTAGGGGTTTAACCCCGGCATCCAGGCCAAATCTGCCCACTGGCCTTCATCTATCATGGCCACCTAAACATCCCCATATTCAATTGGCTGCATCACTGTCTCCTCTCCACCAATCAGCTGGTGTGTGGTGTGTGGTCTGGCGCAAAATGGCTGCCGTCGCACCATCCAGGTGGATGCTGCACACTGGTGGTGGATGAGGAGATCCCCCCCACTATGTAAAGCGCTTTGAGTGCCCAGAAAAGCACTATATAAATGTAAGGAATTATTATTATTATTATTAACTCTATTTATAAATCATGATGAAACTCTTGTAACAATGGAAATAAAAATGCCCCAACATTATTTACTTTTGCCCCAACTGAAACGATATTAACAGAAAGTGTTGCTCCTGAAAAA